ATTGTTACAGAAACTTATTTCACTCTTAAAGAACTTTGATGGAACTACTGAAAGTGAAACAGGCTAATTGTTACAGAAACTTATTTCACTCTTAAAGAACTTTGATGGAACTACTGAAAGTGAAACAGGCTAATTGTTACAGAAACTTATTTCACTCTTAAAGAACTTTGATGGAACTACTGAAAGTGAAACAGGCTAATTGTTACAGAAACTTATTTCACTCTTAAAGAACTTTGATGGAACTATTGAAAGTGAAACAGGCTAAAAGTTAAGTCAAAATGGTGCTGAGCAGTAGTTTCTTTGTCTGTGTCTTTCTATGCAGAATTATACAGTGAATGTTGTGTCTGTTAAGGAGTGAGATGGCTCTCCAATCAGCTCATCAAAGCAGTGGCTAAAAAGTCTCTTATTGTAGGTAGTGTTGAAACAGGTCCTGTCGTTTTTCCTCTTGTGTAGAAACTGATGTCATCTGATTTTGTGTCTCTGTAGTATCTTCTTCAAAACAATCCCAATACTCTCCCAGGGCTTCCATAACAGCATTTGTGATTTTCCCCATCAATTGGCTTTTTAAACAGTCCCATTGGTCATCTGAGAACAGTTGTATATTTTCATCTGTCCTAGAATCCTTCCTCTCAAATGGAGCTGCGAGAGCCATCTCACTCCTTAACAGACGTCGATGTCGATGGTCTCACAGGTACATCTGGATCCATGCCGGAAGCGGGGTTAAGCGCCGATTCCAGCAAAGCAACTCAGATGCGCCGCTTGATTTTTTTCCTAGTTTGATTGGAAAACTTGGCACAGTCTTGGCAAGACTCTGGGCGGTGTGTCTCACCGAGGCAAAAAACACAAAGGGTGTCAGGCGGAGTGAGTTTACTGCCACACCCAGTACAATGGTTGGAAAAGCCCCACTTTTTCTCCATAAAATAAACAAAGACGGAGAAGAAAAGGGGGAAAGGAAAAAATAAGGCGGCGTGGGGGGGGGGGACTGAGGCAAAGAAAAAGACAAAGAAAATAAAAAGAGGTTGACTGAATAAAATCCGAAGAATTGTCTGAGGAAAAATAGCTACCAATCTCACCAACCAAGAAACGATGTTTCCAGTGTGGCAGAAAGAAAGGAACTGGCGGGATGTTCATGCCCACCCCTCTGGGCATGCGTGGTGCGGTTCCTGCACATGCCTGAGGCCTGGGCATGAAAATTTATTAGAGCTTGCTACAATACTGATTGATCCAGCGCAGGTGCACTGAATCCCATGGGTGTGAAGCGCAGAGACCACATCGAAGATCATTAACATTCTGAGATATGCAGATGATACCATATTACTGGCAAAAATAGTGAAGACCTGAAATTACTACTGATGAAGGTCAAGAAGACAAAAGTAATGACTTTTGAAGAATTATAACCAAAAAATCAGAGTGAGATTGAGACTAGGAAGGACAGCCATGAAAGAGCTAGAAAAGATCCTTAAGTATAAGGATGTGTCACTGGTGACAAAGATCAGGAGCATTCATACAATAATATTCCCCATTACTATGTACAGGTGTTAAAGTTGGACAATGAAGAAAGCTGACGGGAAGAAAGTTGATTCATTTGAAATGTGGTGTTGAAGGAGAGTTTTACAGATACCATAATGGATTGCCAAAAAGAAGTGGGTTCTAGATCACATCAAGCCTAAACTCTCCTAGAAGCTAAAATGAGTAAACCAAGGCTATCATACTTTGGTCACATTATGAAAAGACAAGAGTCACTGGAAAACAAACAAACAATAATGCTAGGAAAAGTAGAAGGCAGCAGGAACAGAGGAAGACCCAACATGAGATGGATTAACTCAAAGAAGCCACAGCCCTAAGTTTGCAAGACCTGAGCAAGGCACTTAACAATAGGATGTTTTGGAGATAATTCATTCATAGGGTCACCATAAGTCGTAAGCAACTTGACAGCACTGAATACATGCACATAGTAGCTTGCTGTAATACCCTTTGAGCCTCTGTCCAGTAAAACAGAAAACCACTGAATACTGCCATTACTGAGTTCAATTCCTTAGTGTATCATCACCTTAGTAGTACAATTGCAGTTGTAAAAGCAGAGCTTGCTGGGAAGATATCACATACACTGATGAATGAAGAATTTGTGATGCAATAGCTGAGTACCCACCACCTCTTGAAACTGGAGTCTGGGGAAAGGTCCTTATGCTGTTTCTCTATTTTGTGGAATCCTGCTTAAAAAACTCATTTGTATGTGAATGCTAGTTATCTATCACTGGGAGATGTAACGCAGAATGCTGCTGACAGTTCTGTGAGACACTTTGAAAAAAATAAAAATATAAAAAACCAATTGTGATTTTTGCTATGATTTTTCCATGCCAAAAGAGCTATTCAAAATATTGTTGATCTAAAAGGAAACCACTGTTTGTAATGGTTTGTATACTTTCAGGCATCTATTAAGACTGATGAAAACCATCTGGGAAACATTGCTCCAAAGATACTGATCTTCATATTTTTCCATGTTTCCATTTATAACAAAAGTAAATAAAGCCCTTTATTACCATGAGACTGAAAAATGCTCCCTTTACCAAGTTCATTCAGACCACATATGAACTTCCTGGTGAGGTCTTTATTATGTTATTTGGAACAAGACATTCTTTGTTGTCGCTTTGCTTCTTCTGAAATCTACAATTAAAAGGCTGTTGGCTACAAGGTTTTGTTCATGTTCAAATGTTCACTGAATAAGCCCAGTCCTACCCTATGGAGATAGATCAAGATGGGTCACTGTATTAGTCTGTCTGTAGCAGTAGAAAAGAGCAAGAGTCCAGGTGTTACCCCGACCAGCTTTGAATTATTTATTATCTTTACTGTTTTTGCAACCTGAGTCATAAACAGCAAACCCTCATCCCACAATAAACCTTGTTCCACAAGAAAACATGGAAGAATTGAAAGGTTGCTACTGCAAAAGTTGTCATGTGATTTGACAACAGCTGCTAGAAATATTGCCACACTGTAGTTTATTTGTCTTCGTCTCTAAATAACCAGGATGATTTTGCTTCTGGAAAGAGGAGGTCCTGATTAAGTAAAGGGGAGATAAGTTCATCTCTTAGAGCTGAAAATTTGAGACAATCAAGCAAAATATGATCCAGAGTCAATTTTACTGCAGCCACAATTACAGAATTGATCTGGGTACGAAATCCCATTAAATCTTTCTGACATCACAGCTGAAGGTAAGGCATTCAGGCGTGCTAGCATGAATGCCTTTCTATACTTTGGAAGAATTATCTCAGACGTTTGGCATTGTTGTTGGAGGCTGAATGCCTACTGAAAAGGTTGAGTACACTCTGCGGGCTCTCATCAACGTGCTCTCATAGTCAAAGTCTAGCTTTGATTTAAAAAGCTGAATCACTGGCTTGAGTTTCTGGGGGGAAATTAGCTAAATGGTAGGCCTCAGTGAGAGGTGGGGTAGTAGTAGGGATCATCCTACCTCTGTCTATGGGGATTTTCCCCTTTATGAGAGTTCTTAACAACCAGTCCAAGGGTAAAATAGAGAATGTTTTATTAAAGGATATTTAGGGATTGTAACACAAGCGGCACACATGGAGCATACACACATACAAGATCTATGGAAATAAAGTGAAGAGCGGGATAGTAGTGGGGGTTGAGGCAAAAGCTACTTTTCCTGGAGAAATCCATGAAGAAGGAGAGACGACAAAACAAACAGTGCTTTGCTGAGAGGAAGGACCCAGTTTGGTGTAGTGGTTAAGTGTGCGGATTCTAATCGGGGAGAACTGGATTTGATCCACTTGCAGTGCTAGATGACCTTGGGCAAGCCATAGTTCTGTCAGAGCTGTTCTTTCAATGACAGCTCTGGAAAGAGCTCTCTCAGCCTCGCCTACCTCATAGGGTGCCTGTTGCGGGGAGGGGAAGGGAAAGAAGTTTGTAAGCCGCTCTGAGACTCCGAGTGAAGGGCAGGGTATAAATCCAATCTCCTCTTCTTCTTCACTGCTGCCAGAAGATGGTCAGTATTAAAACACTTAGCACTGATTAGTCACTGGGTCTTTGGTATGCATGCAAACAACAATAGTCTGGCATCTCCCCCACCCAGTACAACTCTTCAGGGATGCTATTCCATAAAACAGAGGCAGTCACCCAGGAAGCATGCTTACAAGAGTTAGATGACCATGCCTGGATGGGGTGGCACAGCCATACGGTGAAATTAGCCTTCCCCTCAATCAGAAGAACCTGGTCAGTAGGATTTCCCCCCAGCACCCATCAGCCAAGGCATGGAAGTGGATTGTCTAATGCCCCTTTAAAATGGCCATCACATAGTCTTGTGAGAATTAGATCTCAGTAGCATTCTTGGTAAATGTTTTGATGATTTTGGGATTTCTTAAAACCCTTGTGTATTTTTTTTTAAATCAGATGTTTCCGCAAACCTGGGACTTTCCTCAAGTTTGCAGAAAACTGTCTCCTTTGTCTCTGGCTCCGTGAATTTTTGACCCACAATCTAGGACAAGTTCAGAATTATATAGGTTATGAGGGAACTGTGCGGCTGGTCTCTAGCAATAATCAACTGTTTACAACTATCCAAAGGCAAATGCTTGTTATATTCCACACTGGAACCTAGCTAATGTGAAAGAGGATAGCGGATAATGCTAATTAATTGCACTTGCTTTATCCATTAACAGTTTTGAATCTGCCAGATGCAAAACACAATCAAAGAAAAGTGTTGCTTCAAAGAGATATCGAATGTTGCATAAGCATGCCTACAGTAGAATAATGGGACCAGAAGAACTGCAGAACAAGGACTAAGTTATTTATTAGTATCATAGCTTTCTTAGGAAATTGGTTTAAAATGTAAGCATCTGATTTAATAGTCTATTAAAACTGATTTCCAACACAATACAACCCTTGTTCTTCTACTGCTAAAGTGTAGCTTGTGCATAAGACTTTGCTATATTGAACCAAACTTCATAATGAATCTCTTCTATGGCACTGGAATTGAGAATCAACAATGTACAATTTGCATCCATGTTTCCAGTATAACCAGTAGATCCATTAATCTTGTTAAAAATAAACAATCTATGCAAATCATTTTATCTTGGTCTCCATTTGATGTCCTTAACACCATGAAAATGTCTTTTCAAGGCATGACTATCAGCCCATTCAGAATCTAAACAGGAATCATCATCATTTTCTTCTAATTTCTGAAAAAAAGAGAGCAAAATCTTATAAATTTAAAAATCACTTAGTTCAGCTACATATGGTATATACTTTGTAACACCTGATACCTTTAGTTCCTCTTGTCTTTTGTAATAATAAAGCATCATTTGTTTGTGGTCTTCATTACTTATAACAGGCTCTCGGGCTGGAGCACCTTGTCCTTTCTGGGAAAATAAAGATGAAATTGTTGCTGTGATCAAAGATCTGAACCCAGCATATGATTATGCAGAGAAAAGCCCAATTGATTTCCAGTGGGTGGGCTCATTAGAGAGAACAGATTTCACTCCCCATCATTTTGAGTGCTTTAATTCTGAATATTTTCTGACAGGAACCTTGCAGTCAATGCAAACAGCTGCAGGCATTTCAGAATACGCAGTGCAAGGAGTTGCCATCACAAAATAACTGTTGCATAAGCCTTAATGACTGCCACACTGTATAGCAAAAATGCAATTTTAAATTATTACATTATACCCCAAAGCTAAAAACAACATCAAACCGCTGTTCCTGACCCATCATGTATAGGGCTTGTGTAAAGATTAGTGTTGGAACAATGAGAAACAGCACTGTAACTCAATGAAATGTTGCTCAAGTGTTAGTCTTGACAAAGCCTTGGACAACCAATACAGAACCACAAAAAGGCTTGTACTTACCTTCTGTATCTTAACAATAATTTTGGTTTTTTCATTTTTGCCTACATAGTCAGAAAGCTGATTTGTTCTTTTCAGCTCCTTTGCTGCCCACCATAACTGTGCCTCTGGTTCCTCAATAACCTCAAGAGCAGCCTGTGAAAGAATGTCAATTGCAAGGAAAGGCATAATGCATGTAAGGGGTTTTCAACAACAAACACAAAAATTACAAACTGTACAGGTTTTACTTTAATGGAGCAATGGGGGCAACCTGGCCTCCAGCTCAAATGCTTCAACTGAACAAAAGAGATGAGGAAAAGGAAGCCTACAATGTAGGAAAGCCTGTTCACATATTTTGATACCATTATTAAGAGAACAAATAGCAGATGTGCTATTCAGGACTGGCAAAGGGAAACATTAGCATGCATGGAGCTCTATTATGATAGAATTATAAGTGATAGCTATGTGTTATGCGGGATCTATTACAGTTCCGCAGTGCCTGTAAAATGGAGCTGTTGTGCCAGGCTTTTGGTTGAGGCGGTGGGCGTCCAATTATTCCATTTATTGGCCTCCCCTGCTAAACCTTCCATCTTCAAACAGCCCATCAGGTGAAGACCCATAGTTTCGTCTATGGCCTAGCGGCTCCATTTTTTGTGGCTACCATAACTAACTGCTGTGCCATCTGTCTTGTTTTATAGCTTTTAACTATTTATTGTGACAAATTTTTTAATGTTGTCATCCGTTCTGAGCCCATTTGCAGGGAGGGTGGAATATAAGCCAAAGTAAACAAATAAATAATAAATTAAGTATTATAACATCCCTCTACTGCACAGGTTTGTAAATATATTTAAAATGTCATGGCTAAAGGTATGGAACTATAATCTTTCATGTCAGCAGTGATATTACTGGCTCTAACCATGTGTCTTCAAAGTAGTCACACAATTAGATCATACTTTTTTTAAAAACCAAAATTGTGGGATTGCTAGTTGGTGGAAAATTGCATTTTGACAGCAAGAACAGTTTTCCAGTCGGCTGAAAGGAACACTGAAATGGGTAAAATGCATTTCCTCTGTCCCTCTCTCTATACATGCCTTATCAGATGTTAAAATACAGAACAGGCTCCTTAGCTTAGGAAGCTACAGATCTCTATAGAGTTTCTCTTACCATGTAGTTTTGTCCAGCTCTCCAGGCCACCACATGACTAATGGCTGCCTCCTCCAGACCTGTTAAGAGTTCCATCTGCTCTGATGGACTCAGCACACACGAGTCCTTCCTCCTTGCTCTCCTGAGTTTTATCACCTCTCTTTTCCTTCCTACTGACCAGGTCAGGCTGGGTCAGAAAAGTTTTTTCTTGAAGTTTCCAGAAATACTATTCCTGAAGTCTCTCTAGTAATTAATTTCTCCAAATCTCTGTTCCCTGCTTAGGGAAGGGGGAGACCCACTCATTATCTTGACCGACTCATTATCTCTCCTGCTAGATCTATTAGTATTTGTATGAAAGTGGGCTGAGGTATGTCTGGAAAGCAATTGAACTGACATCTCCCCTTCCTGCTTGCTCTCTGTCTAGAGAAAAAAAAACTATTTAAAAATCAGAGTGAAGATTTTGCTCATTTCAAACCTCCAAAGGGAAAAAAAAAGCATTTCTTTACACCCTCATTCATAGGGCATCCTCTACTGGCAATGGAAACCTTGTTTTCTGAAGGAACATGCATATCTCATAGAGAATTCTTGAATTCCTGCAAACCAAGGGGTTTTGCAAACATGTAGACTACATGAGTAGGTATCAATATACGTTATGGGGAAAGCCCACCCCATAGGAATCAGGACCGTTGTAGTGGTGAAGACAACGGGCTCTAGCTTGGCTGCCTGGCTGCAGGGCCCTGCCCCCTTTCCGGCACCCCTTGGCTGCCTGAGTCCCTGGCGGGCGAATGCCGCCAGAAGTCCCCCCCGGCCACCCGAGGGGCTGGCTGGCCCAGGCGGGTGCCATCGCTCCTCCCCCGCCAGAGGGCACGTCTACCAATACAGTGCAATGGGTGGGTGTTACCTGCTCTCCAGAGGGCAGGTCTTTCAGTATAGTGGAAGGGGGTGGGTAGACCTGTTCTCCAGAGACCAGGTCTACTAATATAGCGGAATGGCGTGGGTACACCTGTTCTCCAGAGAGTAGGTCAACTAAGATAGTGGAAGAGGGTGGGGGTACACCTGTTCTCCAAAGTCCAAGTCTACCGAGATAGTGGAAGGGGGTGGGTAGACCTGCTCTCCAGAGCCCAGGCCTACCAATACAGTGGAGTGGGGTGCGTAGACCTATTCTCCACAATATAGTGGAATGGGGTGGGTCTACCTGCTCTCCAGAGGGCAGGTCTACCAAATACAGTGCAATGCGGTGAGTAGACCTGTTCTCCAGAGGGCAGGTCTACCAAGATAGTGGAAGGGGGTGGGTACATCTGTTCTCCAAAGGCCAGGTCTACCAATACAGTGCAATGCAGTGGGTAGACCTGTTCTCCAGAGGCCAGGTTTCCAAGATAGTGGAAGGGGGTGGGTAGACCTCCTCTCCAGAGGGCAGGTCTACCAATACAGTGGAATATGCCACTATATTGGTAGACCTGCCCTCTGGCAGGTGGGAGGAATGATGCCACCCGCCTGAGGGGGAACACTTCCAGCGGCCATCACCCACTGGGGACTCAGGCGGCCGAGGGGCACCGGGAAGGGGGTGGGGCCCTGTGGCCGTGCGGCGAAGCTAGTGCCCGTTGTCTTCACTGCTACAACGAGCCTAATTCCTAGTTTTTTATATTTACATGGTCCTAAAAATCAACTAAATGGTAATTTAAACGGACTTCATGCTTGTATAGCATGTTTTATTCATTAACTGAATTTTCACAAGCATGAAATCAGTAGGCTAAAAACTCCTTTTCTTCAGCTTTCCAATAAAGAACTTTGCAGCAATGTACAGTTGCTCAGTGGCTGTAGAAGTGATAGGAAAAAATACTCTGGTCCTAATCAGTGGGCAGAAGAAGACATGAGTAAAGAGCCTCTCCCTCAGAAACACCAGCAAGGTAAAGGCTTTTACAAATATATATAATGGATAGTAAAATACCTCAGACCTCTTGAAATGAAGCAATGTAGAAATCTAATTAAAAATGAATGATAAATGCTCTGTAAAATCCCCAATTTTCAATCCAGAAAAGATTAATACAACCCAAGTAAATTATTACATGAGTTCCTGACAGATCTTCTTTATCTTCAAACTCCATTCTAATTGGATCATATGGAGGCAGTCCCATCGGATAAACAATCATCACAGCTCCTCGGAGCTGGTCCAGTGCATCTTTCACCATATCCGTATTAACACATACATTGGCTTGAACTTGTTTCTGAAATACAGACAGAAGCCATTATTTCATTCAACAAAGCACAAAGAAAATAATGTTTTCCAGACAGTCTGCAATATAGATCAGCTCGACATTTGAGAGTAAAGCCTCTCTTAATTTTATGCTGATTTATTAAGAAGCAACATGTAAATGTTTGTCTTATTGTACACACAATACAGCAGTTTACATTGGCTAGGGTAAAACTGACACATTAGTGTCTAAAGATTTATTTTAAAAGAGTTGTAGAAAGTATTCATAACAGATTTTCAGTGGGTACAAACCTGCATGAGATTACTTTTTAGAGAATGAGATAGTCATAAATATGTACATTTTATAACTCTGGAATTTTTACCTACATTAGCAAAAGACAATAAATTAAGTACACAGAGTGTTTGGGTGTTTGGCTATAAATGTGTGTGTGGAAGAACTGAGCATGTTCTCAGCTCACCTTCTGAAATGAATGGTGCTTTAAGATTTCAGTAAGCTTCTTTCTCTTTAAAAATGTAAATAGAAAGCTAAGAGAAGGGAGACTCCTTGTGGACAACAACTGTTGCGTTAGTCACTAGCAAATATTGTGTGCCACCATTCCAGGCCACCTTACTAAAGGGGGGGGGGGAACCAAACCACAACTGATGTATTCCCCCTCCTGAAGGGCAAACAACAGCTGGGGGAACAATTCTGTTAGGAACCTCCATCAGACTGGCAGATCCTTTCAACTGAATTCTAGGATTTAAAAAGTCAGGAGACCAGAGATCTCCTGTATTAACATATATTTTATAGCAAATTACAAGTGGACAAATTCTTCTGTTTTCAAAATTACTTACTGGATCAGCAACCTTTACAGCAAGAAAAAAAAATTAAGTTCAGGAATCTGGTGGCATTTGCTAGAAATAATACATATGTGAGAATAAGAATATCTACAAACTGTTTTAATCAATAAGTGGCATGATGTTCCAAAGAAACTTAACGATGTGCAGATATCAATAAAGTAGGGTAATTTTACATACAACTTTTGTGCTAGTGGGAGCATTTGCTCCATGGGTTCAAAATCTATTGCCAAATTAACAATATCACAAGACAATGGTGTAGGAAACTACTGCACATTCTTATTATTACTTAGTTGGTGCAGAGACCCCCAGGATCAAGCCTTAAGAGTGACTGGTCAGAATAATCCAGCTGTGTGACACAGAGTGTTGGACTAGATGGGCCTTTGGTCTGATCCAACATTGGCGTCTCTTATGTTATGTTTTTGACAACACAGAAGGTCCGTGTAACTTGTATAATTATTTTTAAAGTTTAAAAAAATCAATGTAATAACTTTTATGATGCTACTATTCTTCTAACAATTTCTTACCTTAGAAATTAGTGCCTTAGCTTCTTCTATTGTTGCTTTTAGAACCTGCTTCATTTTTTCATTTGGAGCTTAAAGTAATAGATGTGCAATTAATACCCATGCCATTATACAAAACATGTTGCATAAAACCAAAAATATTCCAATTTTGCACAAAGATGTCACTGGAAATGCCTCTACACTAAAAGCCAGATATAATCAAAGCTTATATAAGTCCAAATGAAGTGCTCAAATGACTAGACAGAGAGTTGTATCCTGTGATTCCATTCACTGACAACAGAGCTTTCTGCTGGCATAAGGAGCCTCTTCTGCAGGAAAGCACCACTATCATTGGAATGAAGTCCCCGGAAACAATCCAGAACTTCAAAAATAGTCAAGCAAACTTGGTCCTAAAGAGGCTTTGAGAGAAGGGATTTTTAAAAAATTCACATCACATTCTTCTGCACACATCTGATTATGCTAAATTATAACAAGTTGATTATTCCGGGACATTTTGGAGGCTTCTTCTCTGGTACCCTTTTAAATGGAATGCATTAGGGTCTATTCATGTTAAAATAGATCCTGTTTCTTCTGCGGTTAAAGAATTCTGGCATGTAAAATTACAATATCAATTTGATTCATTTTCACATGCTAAATTAAAACTATGGGCAAACTGAGATTTAATTTTTTTAAAATAGAAAGCTTGGACAGATAGGGGAATTTTTTACTTTGGACCAATTAATAGAGTATGATGAGTTTTTATTTTTTTTCAACTGAGGTCTTGATATGACCCATCAACGTCTGCTGAATGGCTATATTTACAACTACATCTGCTGGTATCGAAATATGACCCTGCAGCACTAAGTGTTTTAAAATATCCCTTATTCTTGAAAATTCTCATTGAATCAATGCAGAAAATTAAACCTACAATATTTGTTTATGAATATTTGATGTTGACTGATAAATATGATATGCCAAATCTCAGAAATGAGTGGAATAAGGAGCTATATCACCCTATTCTGGCAAAGCATGGAATATGGTCCTAAATTTTATACTTGTTTCTATGGTCTTAAGTTGTGACATTCAGCAAAATATTATGTTTAGGATATATTTATTTATTTATTTATTATTCACATTTTTATCCCGCCCTCCCCGGAGGCTCAGGGCGGCTAACAGGGCATATCGCCAAATAAAACAGAAAACAGTACAAATTTTTTAAAAATACATCAGCATTAAAACACTATTAGTGCTCCTCTCAGCTAAATTCCAGTTTACAATTTCTAAAAAAGGATGGTCGCCCCCTAGACGTCCTGTTCTGGCCTTGATGATACATGCCCCACATCATGATGTCCATATATATATACATAGGGCGTGGATGGTAAACCCATGCGTTGGTGGTGCATTAGTGGTAGTGGTGGCAGCTCCTATTCAAAAGCCTGGCGGAAGAGCTCCTTCTTGCAGGCTCTGCGGAACTGTACTAGGTCCCGCAGAGCCCTGATCTCTTCTGGGAGCTCATTCCACCAGATAGGAGCCGCCACCGAAAACGCCCTATTCCTGGTCATGGTTAATCTGATGGACCGGGGACCTGGAACATCCAACAGATGTTGGGTCCCCGACCGTAGTGCCCTTGGGGGAACATGCGGGGCAAGGCGGTCCCTTAGGTAGACTGGTCCCTGACCATATAGGGCTTTAAAGGTAATGACCAGCACTTTGAAGCGAACCCGGTAAGCTATTGGCAACCAGTGCAGCGCTTTCAACACAGGCTGGATGTGATCTCGTCTAGGGAGATCCATCAACAGCCTGGCTGCAGCATTCTGCACCAGTTGC